ATATATATATATAAAAAATTATGAGTAGAGAATATGGTGAATTTGTAATCCTTAAACAACAATTAATCCCAATACAGTTTCCTTAACAAGGCTAAAGTATTCTACTTTAGCTTCTTTTTCTTTGGTCTTCTATTTCTTTTTCTTCTTCGTCTTCTTTTTCTTTTTTCTCATGTTATTCTTGTATTGGTAAAAATAAATATTACACGTAGATTTATATATGTGGCTGATGTAGCAAGATATGTGGATCACTAAGGAAGCAACAGCTGGAGAGGTGCATTAAAAGAGGCACGAGTCGTAATAGGCACGAGTAAATCACCCACGAGATAAAAGGGTATGATCGCTCGAATCTGAATTGCCAAATGAAGAGACATCGGCATAATGAATCAAGACAGAAAAGAAGAAAAATTCATGAATCGTCAATTAATGTGCACGAATGATCATAGACGTTACAGAATCTTCATGAACAGTTACGATTGCTAATTATAACATCTCATTAATATCATAATGATTCAGTCATAAAAGGGAAGAAATGTTGTACTTATAGATTCCTATATAAGGGAAGAAGATTTTACTTGTAAAGGCACGTTCTGATTATTATTGAAATACAGTTATTTTCTTTTGCTTCTTATCGGTTACTTTGCTATTTCATATTCTAATTTTCTTTCTTATCATTGATAAAATACAGAATTTCTTGATTATCAGTAGCCCGAGTACTTCTAAAAATAAGCTTTGACCGAAGTGCACATTTTTGATTAAACAAATTGGTTCCGTTACCGGAAATCTGATAATCTTTTCACTTTCCAAATTTAATTTTTTTGTCAAAAATAATTATGTCGACCGCTAACGACAACAACTGACAAAACCAGCAAAACTAGTTGAACCAACAGAATCAACAAGAGGATGGAACTCCAATCCCTTTACCCGAAATTCTCCTCAACAATCCCAAGAAGGGTCACCTGACAGATCAACATCACATGTGAATAACCAACAAGAGAAAGATCAAACTGCTGAAGATGCATTGAAACAACTAATTGCAGAACACGTCAACAATGTTCTTCAAGCTTTTGTTAGTGGATTACCAATTGTACCACCAACTCCACCTCCAAACAACACCGCAACTATAGAGAACCCACGCTCAGGACTTGCCAATTCGGGCAGTGGAGGAACTCCCAGCGAATCTCACGATTGAAGGTCAGGTATCCCAATTAACTCTGATTTACAAAGTTTAGTACTAACTTTGCAGAAACAGCTCAAGGAGCAGAACGATCACATAGAGCAGATACCTGGTGTGCCACCCGTGATTAAAGGAGTGGATATTGATAAATATTTTTAACAACTCTGGAAGCCAAGTGCCGCTCACTTGCCAACAAAAAAGTTTAAGATGCTCGATATCCCAAAGTATGATGGGAAAACCGACCCACAAGATCATGTAACTGCGTTTACAATTGGCATGAAAGGCAACGACCTAACCAAGCAAGAGATTGAGTCAGTGCTGGTCAAAAAATTTGGTGAAACACTCACAAAAGGAGCACTAACATGGTATTCTCTTTTACCAGAAAATTCTATTGATTCTTTTGCTGAGCTTGCAGATTCATTTATAAAAGCAGACTCGGGAGCTCAAAAAGTTGAAAAGAGGATGGAAGACATCTTCAAAATAAAACAAAGAGATACGGAGCTACTCTGAGAATTCGTGGATATATTCCAGCGTGAAAGGATGATGTTACCACGTGTACCTGATAATTAGGCGGCTATGGCATTTGCAAGTAACCTAAATGGAAAAAGCTCAGAAGCCACGAGGAGACTCAAAGAAATTTTACGAGAATTCCCTACAACAACTTGGAATGATGTTTACAACAGGTATAACACGAAGCTGTGGATATAAGAAGATACTATCACTCAGTCACGGAGAGATGAAAGAACAAGTTCGAGGCGACAAGAAACTGAAAAAAGGTCCGGTAAGAACAGGTACGAACCTTACATGGGAACAGCAGGAAGGGATTCACGTTCGAAACAAGAGAACCCAAGGTACGGTTCCAGATCAAGGGACAGAGATGTGGATTCGTTAACCAAGTTTAGAAAGGAGCGAGATACGCGGGACAACGACATTAGTTCAAAAGCACAGATTGGTGATTACAGTTTCAATGTTAGCACATATGAATTGGTAGTTGTTTTAAGAAGTATGGGAGATAAGGTGCGGTGGCCGAAAGAAATGAGATCGAACCTTAGCAGAAGAAACCCAGATTTTTGGTACGAGTTTCACAATGATCACGGTCATAAAACAGCAGAGTGCAGATTGCTACAAAGTGAAGTAGAGCACTTGTTAAAACAAGGTTATTTAACCGATTTGTTTAGTGAGAAGGGTAAGCAAGCATATGTGAAAAATAGACAGGAGCCACCAAAACCTCCGCCACCGAAAAGAACGATTGACGTGATAAGCGGAGGAGAGGAGGTCAACGGTGTGACATATACGGCTGCAAAAAAAAGTGTCAAAAGTCATAGTTACCCATGGAAAGCGAGTTCGCCATATTTTTGAAGAAGACAATATAACATTTGATGATGCAAATGCAGATGGCGTGTTGATCCCACACAATGATGCATTGGTAATATCTTTACTTGTACATGTTACTAATGTGAAACGAGTTTTGATTGATCCAGGTAGCTCTGTAAATATCATTCTTTTAAGAGTGGTAAATGAGATGCAAGCTGATGACAAATTGGTACCCAAAGCAAGTACCTTATCTGGATTTGACAATTCAAGCGTGGTTACTAAAAGGAAGATAATTCTCACCACTTTCGCAGAAGGAGTAGTCAAAGATACGAAATTTCAAGTGATAGATATGGACATGGCATACAATATGATACTCGACAGACCTTGGATTCACGAGATGGATGATGTTCCATCTACTTTACATCATGTTATTAAGTTCCCTTCTCAATGGGGAATTAGACAAATTCATGGTGATCAACATGCTTCTAGAATTATCAATTCAGTGGCAGATTCAAGCATAAAAAACGACGTTGCAGACGAAAAATAGCAATTACAGAATTCAGTTGAGGGTTTAACAACCCAAACCTCAACTGGAGATGGACAAACGGATGTAGACTCAAGGCCTGATACTAGTCAAGAGCCAGAAGAGAACGAAAACATCAAAACAATAATTGAGGAACTCGAAGTTGTGGTGCTGTTTATACATTGGTCGGATAGAAAAGTTTACATCGGAACCAACCTGATCCCAGAGATGAAAGGTAAGTTAA